AGGCGAAACGTTGATGCGACTAGAACCGGCGGACCCGGTCGACGGCATCGGATATTTTTTTATGAGTTAATTTAAAAAGGCAGTTTCCTAATTTTGATGTTTTACGCTTTCCAATTTTAGGAGGGTTATGTTATAGGTATATAAGCTTGTTTAAGGGTTTGTTTTGACATTCAGAACATTACCATCAATATTGAATTTCGAGATTTCTTTCTCTAAGCAAGGTTTTGCTTGAATTACTCACTAAACGCTACGTCAGAAGTTACATGAATATAAAAAGTATTTAGGACTCGTTCTCAAGCGATGTGGGATAATACTTCAACAGTACCATTTACATAGGATTTGATGTTAGCTTGTGTTTCTTAATGATACACGGCGAAAGGCCATTTAATTGATCAATCGATTCAACCAAACCAAAGGGATTGCCTCGTGGAACACTATCGATTCGCCAATTCTACATGTGTGTATCCCTTCAGATCCAATTTAGCTACTCATGTTTTTATTCTTGGATTGCTCTATTAATATGAAATGCAATTGCATACACAAGAGACACCCTAGCGATGAGCCCCATGGTCAATGGTCTTTGTTCTTGCTCTATTAGAATTCTTCTTGTTCTACAGATCAACTTGTGGCAATCGTCAAGTGCATTGAACTTCCTTCTCTACAATTGCCTATCTTTTCGCCTAAATTCGAGAGAGAGAGAGAACGTCGCAAGATTTCCTTCCACAATTATAATAACGTTGCTTCATGAACCAAAGTCAAAGTTTTGGATTCATGTGGTCAGAGGGTGGCCCAATAGAAACATATAGATGGTTGCGGAGTTTCGATGGTGAATCTGCTGCCCCCCTCAATTATTCGATTTTAATAAGGTGAACATTTTCCTAGTTGCTGCTCAACTGTCTCTTCGCACCTCAACAAGGACAAAATTCAATAAGTTCTATAATGCCTCGCGATAGTGTCTGGTGTTGACTTAAGACAAACGTGAATTGGGGAAAAGGAGAAACGAAATCGAAAAATTGTGGGATGAGAATAATTTATAGTCTAAATTGTAGAATTTGGTAGGCAGCTTTAGTTTCTAGACTAAGTGATGAGCATCCAAGCTAAGTTCTATGGCTTTACCTATTAGGTGGAGCAACCAACGCATTGGTTTACATATAAAAGGCCCCGTGGAATTTCGTCTCAAAAGACGCCAAACTTTTAAAGCTCTTTAACCCATGTACAAGTGGAATAAAAGACCACAAAACGAGGCTATCAAAGGATCTTCACCACTTCGACCAAAAAAAAAAAATTATCTTCACCACAAGAACTTTTTGTTGCATCCAAAGTATGACAGTCGGAAAAAGTATTAAAAAAGTCTTAAACCTTTCAATTTGACTAATTTAATCATGAACATTTTCACATTGGTACTAATTTAGTCCATCCGGCCAATTTAGGCCAAAATTGCTAACGTGGATATTTTTTTAATAATTTTTTGAATTTTTTTTCTTTTTTACTTTCTTTTTCTCCTCATATGAGGGAGGGTTGCCCTCGCCACCACAAGCAAGGGTCGACCTCGCCTGGCCAAGCACAAGCGCCAGCGAGGCCAACCCTTGCCCAACTGATGCTCGACGAGGCCGACCCTCCCTCAGGTGAGCCTAGCCTTCGTTGCCATCAGCATAGGCCATGGAAGAAAAAGAAAGAGTTTAGAAAGAAAAGAAAGAACAAAATTTTAGAAAAGATTATTAAAAAAATGTCCACGTCAGCGCCAGCCATGCCACGTAGGCGGCCGGCGTGCACGTCAGCAGTTTCCTGCCTAAATTGACCAGATGGACTCAATTGGTATTAATGTGAAAAGGTTTAAGACTAAATTGGTCCAATTGAAAGGTTTAAGACTAAATTGATATCGATGAAATAGGTTTATGATTTTTTGGTAATTTTTCCTATGATAGTCCCGTTCTCCTAATTTGATTACCATATTATATATGTTGTAGACTTCCTCGAATGATAACCCTTACAACTGTTATAGTCTTTATGGATGCTGTGTTTCAAAAATACCTAAAAATTTATGGTGGAATAGAAGCATGAGAGGAGTAGTGATTAGTTAATATTGGCACAAATTGAGGCTCTCATGACATGTTATAGTCAGGAATGAAGATCGATTGGGTTTAATCAGGGTTGTACTCTGGCAAAAAATCAGTAGTTCCCAACTGGGTTTTTGGAAATACATAGGTAGTATTTACCAAATTCTACAATATTCTATACACAATTTCGAAAAGAGTCTAGCCAGTCCGTCTCTATAATGACTTATATGTGTATCACATCAACTGGACAGGAGAAGCAACTAGAGTTGAGTTCTTTGTTGGACCGATAAATCATAAATCCATAAGGACCGATTGCGGGCAATAGCATCTTCTACTTTTTCCAATTACTTGGTAATTTCTACTCTTAATGGATAGCAACCACAAGTATTATATAAATTTAGGAATTATTAAAGTGAGAACTAATATATTAAAAGTACATTTACCAATATATGCTTCCGGAAAGAGTCCTGCAAGCATGACCGCTCCGTCAGTTTTATAAATGACGAAGGAATAGTGGCCAGAAGTTTTTCAAATGAAAACTAGAAACCAAGCAAATCAGCTATCCTTTATTTTCATACTTTTTTTTCCCTTAAATAATTTTCTTCTCTCCCTTCTCTGTCATTTCATCTACTCAAAGATAACTATGACCTTTAAACCCGCCTTTTGTAAAAAGAAAAATAGACTCTATTCCCCTTGTACACTATACGTTCTTCCATTTATTCACGTGATGCCGACTAGTCAATTTATTTGTGGGTTTTACGTTAAAATTACGACCATGAAGAGATTACAATATGTATATGAAACTATTTATTTAGATTTCAATTCATGAGTGCAAGTATGGCTTTGACATGGACCATGCAAGTTTGAGATGGTACTAAAGTTTCCTATCAACACAATATTGCGATGTCCCCAACATTAGTATCCTTATTTAACAAAGTAGGCAGCCTTGCCCAACCTTCTGCCAACACGATATTTGTACCTACATGACTTTAAAACATGTCATGCTGATCGGTGGAAAATCAATGAGATATCTGACGCCAAATCATTTAAATTTATTCTTTTTATGTGACATCAATTTACATATCCTAACTCCTCCATATATAATAATTAAATCAATTAAACTAGTTGACACATTTCCGGTATCAACGTTTCAAAATATATATTAGTATATTTCATTTGTTCAAAAGTAATTCAATACACTGTGCTTATGTTTATCACTATCACATAACTCACTTCCTGTATGAGTAAGACCATCAAATGGTGAATGCCCAATACATTTATCTGAGGAGGAAATTATATGAAACAAACCAGCAAAGAAGGTTATCACGTAACACGCTACCAAAGCATCTTTCTAGGAAATAAGTTATAAACCTTATGTACATAATGCAATCAAGTCATAAGCTTTTCAATTAATTTAATCAAGTCCTAAATCATTACCAAAAAGTATAATGGAGTCCTAAACTCTTCAAGTGGGTCCTAAAATTACTGAAAGTGCATTGAAAGTCCTAAAACTTGTCACGAAAGTACAATTGAGTTTTAAAACTTGCAAAAAGTGCAATCAAGTCCTTAAACTTGCTAAATTTGTGCAATTGAGTTCTTCCGTTAAGTTCGTTTAACTTAGCTAATAGAAAATGCTGACGTGGCTTTTTTTAATATTTTCTCTCTCCTATGTGGTGATAACATGGCTAAATCATGAAACGTAAAGCTAAAACGAGTTGTTTTGGCCCAAATCTAATTTTTAATATAAAATTTATTTAAATTCAATTTAAAAAATAAGCTAAATTAAAAAAAAAAAAAAAAAAAAAAAAAAAAAAAAAAAAAGGAAGGAGACAATCCTTGCTGCAGCTGCCACACCCGCTGCCACACCCTCGCTAGGAATGGCTGGCGACCCTCGACTAGATCTGGGCGAGGGCCCACGGTCGGCGAGGGTCACCAACCCCTGGCTAGGTCCCGACGACCCCTCGGCCAATAAGGGTGGGCTTGGGTGGCGAGGGTTGCAACCTTCACCGCCTATCTCGCTCGCTTTTTTATTTTAAATTTAGCTTATTTTTTAAATTGAATTTAAGTAAAATTTATATTAAAAATCAGATTTTGGATAAAACGACATCGTTTTAGCCAAGTGATCGCCGCGTATAATAGAGAAAATAATATTAAAAAAAGTCATATTAGCATTTTCCGTTAGTCAAGTTGGACGGAGTTAACAAAATGATTCGATTGAACCAATTTGACAAATTTTCGAATTTGATTACACTTTTAGTAAGTTTTATAAATCAAGTGCACTTTCTTGGGAAGTTTTTCAAATATATTGTTTTCTAGCTCCATCTTTCTGTGCTTGCGAAATAGTTCAACGATCATTTTTTCACCCCTTCAATATTATTCCCACTTTTTAGAAATTGGCTTGTTAAAAGAAATAATAATAAATAAAACAAAGTACAAATACAGTATTTAAAGAATAGTCCCCAGATGTAGCTATATCAATGTCCACAGTCGATTTGCGAGGCCCCTACCCACACATGTCATGTCCCTATTACTCTATCCTTCGTTTTCTCGCTCCATAATAATCTTTCTTTCTTTTTTTGGTCCAAATAATTATCTTTCTTCACCAGCATAATAATGCCCGTTCAGATCATGAGAAGAAATTTTTGTATGCATAATAAATCAATAAATGATGGAAAATTTATGAATGTACAGAGCCATTGAAAAATCCCGGATCACTTTACTATGAAATTTCCATGTTCTTTATATATACTGTACTTATCAGTTTAAGTTTTTGAATTAGAACTTTCTAATATAATATCATAGCTAAAGGTATGCGTCCACTCCGTTTGTTGAATTCCACGTATCGTGTAAGAGGGGATGTTGAAATATCTCCCATCGCTTGGCTATGAGTTCATATTGTCTTTGCGTACATGCTTCATTTATTGATAAAGCTTTCAATTGGACTTTCTAACACCTAATGGCAAAAGGTACTTCTCCTTCCTGCATCCGGCATAATCGTATTTGAAGTTATTAGTCACTTCATAAAGTGAACTTACAGAGATTATTAGATATTTAGGCAAGTATGTCACGTATACCATCCAACAGATATACACCGAATTGAGCTCGTCATGGTAGAAATCGATTTCCAGAATCAGTCTTCAGAATGCAAATTTGCAAGATTTCGTACTTAAGGAACCTTGTAATAAGCCTTATATCAAAAGTCAAAGTTAAATCTAACCAACCTAATAATTTATCAGTTCCTTCAAACCGGACATATCACTCAGATCGAACCAAATTTGCTTGAACACATCGACAATGACGTGATGATACTCATCTGAATTCAGCGAGAGATAGCAAGTGAGAAGCTCTTCCAAGTCCTTGGAAGCCTTGATGTTGTTCTCCACGATCATCTCCACCATCGACTCTCTGAAATCTCTCGCCGGGTCCGATGACGACTTCACTACCGCGAAGCTGTTTCCGAACCGTGTCGGATTGAGCGCTGCTGCCGGCGAGCTCCTCCGAGTGTGGCTCTCGAGCTTTATCTTCGCTAGTAGTCTCGGCGACTTGGTCTTCAGCTTTACTCCCGGAGAATGAGAATAATTCGCCGAAGATCGTCTTCTTGGACCGGTCTTGTGCTGTTCTTTCGCTGAGATATTGCTCTCTTCTTGCTTCGCTGAGCTGTTTCTGTGCATGAACTTGGGCTTCGTCACGATGGGAGGAAGCTGAAGCTGCGAAAACGAGTCCTGCTTTGAGTGCGGCTTTTTGGGTTCCTTGTCGAAAGAATGGTGATCCACGCGGATGATGGTGTCACTGCCGAAGATAGAGTTGACTCCATTGCTGCAGGTGGAGGAAGAAGAGGAGGAGGAACACGAAGTCGTCTTGCCGAGCGGCGGCGACTCGGCGACGAGAAGGCGGTCCAGACGGAACTCTTGGGTAGTAGGGAGAGGCTGAGGCAGAACCGCCGCCGGGAAGACATCGGAGGTGACGTCATCATGAGCTGGGTTGGCATGAGCAAAGGAACAATGGACTGGTTTTGGGTCTTGTTTGGATGGTATATCCCTTGGTGGGTCATGAGGAAAGTGAGAATGGGGCTGTGAGTGGTCTTGGAAGTTTTGATCTGGATGGAGATCTCTGGTGAAGTAGTAAGACTTTCTTGGAAGAGAGTGGCGGTCGTCGTGGTTGATGGTGGCGGCGGCGGCGGCGGTGGTGGTGGGTGGTTGCTTTTTCTTGGGTTTGGAGGGAGGGTTCTTGTGGTGGTGGTGGCGGCTTCTTGCTCTCTCCATGTCTCTCAGCTTGTGAAACCAGGCATTGGGTATCATCTCTGATAGCCTGAATTTGTAGATGCCCATCTCTCTCTCTCTCTCTCTCTCTCTCTATAGACAAAGGGAAGCAAATCTCTAGGGAGAGTTTGGGGACTAGAGGGGGGTGGCCTAGCAGATATATTGACCGTTGAGAGAGAAAGTTGTGTGTCTATGTAGAGTGGGGAGGAAGAATCTTTGCAAAGACTTTATGGTACCAAATTGCCCATCATATTTACTAAAATTGGTGTACTTTAGTGGATAAAGAAATGGGTGTGAATTGGACGCACCATATGGGATTGTTTCCACACACAATGAAAGTTCAAGTCACCCACCAAAATTGTGCTCTTATTCGATTTATAAAATCAGGGAGAATTGCATGCGTGTTGTGGATTAATTTATCTATGATGAACTTCCTCTCTTAAAAGAAAAGAAAGACGTAAACGATGGGTGAAGACTCAAGATCTTAATGGATAGTAAATTAAGTGAGGTCATATATGCCTAATGGTTGTTTGATGCTCAAGTTTCACATCCCATGGGAGAGACCTTGCAAAATGAGTCCTGAGTGATGTACACCTTCAAATGATCATCGTGTGAATGATCATCTAATTACTCTTTTTGAAGGTTTGATCCACGTGAATGTATTGAGCTCATATATAACGATCTAGCACATTATGATTGGAGCATGACCTTCTCTGGGAAATGCAGGGTTTGGAGGTGGACTACGCTCAAGTCAATTTGATAAGAGCATGGAGTGATTGCTGAGCAAGAGGGTTTGAATAAGGTATGGCTTGGAAAGCTCATATGAATGAGAAGGGGCACGAATTGTTGAGTCACGCATCAAATTGGGAAGTATCGATGGGCGGTATGGGCCTATTATGATGAGGATATCAGCGGTTTAAGTGGGAGATTATGATGCTCCAAGTTCCGTATCAATTGAGAGGGATCTTACAAAGTGATTCATAAGTAAACCTTTCCCAAATGGTCACTACTCTAAGTAGTCACCAGAGTATTCCTTTTGGAGGCTTGGCATTTGTAATGGGCCGGATTGTTATAATTTTCCTTTAAACGACCGACATAATTTGATCATTAAAATAAATGACTAGTTTAGGAGCAAGACTTAAAGGTTCTTGCCTTTGGTCAATTGATGCAACAGAAACGGCTCATAAAACCAATTTATAAAACTACTAAGTTGGCAAACACTAGTCGCAATTGGCAAACATGCAAACTTCGCAATAACAGATTAAATTCTCTAAATTCATTAAACTATTCAACAAAAAGAAGGTAAGCTAAGTTACTATGAAAACATAGCCAGTATATAGACTGCAAATCCTAACTAATCTAAGGAACATTAGGATTCAACAAGGAAACTGAATTTAGAAAAAATAACCTCCACTCTACTAAATTCACTTGCTACTTGAATTAAGTAGAAGCACCTAAGATATCAAGATAAAATTTTGAACCCTAAAAAACAATCCTAAAGATGAGGGAAATAATCGAATTAGAATCTTGAAAATTATCACGTCCCGCGTCATTCTCTCCCAGCAGGAAAAACTCAACTCCGGCAAGTTGTCTCTGCTTCATCGCCGTCCTTCTGCTCGACAAGAATCGACCAACGCGGAGGGGGAGAGAGAAAGAGGAGCTACATTTGCGTCCAGTTCATTATTTTTTTAGGGCAAATTTCTCAAAATCTAGGGGCATTTTGGTCTTTTCCTATAACTGCAATGGTGTAGTTACCTCTAAATCAAGCATGAAAATTTGCAAGAACACCACTATATTAGGCACGGAGGGTATGGTTATGGATCCAGGGTGTAATTGGGCTTTCCTGGTCAATCACCTAACCTAAGCAAAAACCTTCCTTGCTTTATACACTTCCCTTAGATTTTCTTTTTGGAAGTTGGTATTGTACCCACCATTATTACTTCATCAACAAGCCCAACTTCCATCAGTCGGTCACTGTTACCATTAGATGAACCCCAAATCGAATAATGGACATTGCAAAGATTCATCTTTCCAACAAACCAAACCAAACCAATCACATTTGAATAGATATCTACTGCTACAGTTCTACAGTAACTCTCTACCAAACACCATACGTGATGAAGATCACAGCTACTACCTTGGATACGGTAATTTCGCATCGATGGCATCCCGTGTCTCATCATCACCGAAGCAACCATCTTCCTCGATTTTGCCGACGTAAAAGTTTCCCGATTTCGGATTCGAAATCTAAAAAGACATGATTGATGCTCTGATGATTTGCGTTATGACACATGATATCACCGACAAGAGTTTCATATCGAAAACGGGTTTTGGATTCCTACATGGACAAGACAAAGGTCATCAAGGGGGACCAAGAGAGCAAAACGACATGAACCTGAAGGAGAATTTTACGAGTAAAAGCTATAGCTCTTTCAGGCACAGAATCATATGCAGCAAGCAGCTGATATCGGCTCTCCATCTACTCTGCCAAATTGATCATATAAGTATATGTATATATGTTTTCATATAGTTTAAACATTTTAGAATATGCAAGATGAGGGCGCACCCGTTCACATGAACGAAACAGAAACTAGTTGGCTTCATCATGTGTGCTAAGGTACATGTTGATTTGGTCACGTAAGGACAATAGCTGAATTTCTGAGCTCCGTTATGGGCATGGCAGCGCGACGACGATGACGTTGTGGGCGGGTGTTGAATAAATTCTCTAGGTATTTCATACGCGACGGTTATGGCCCTCATGTTCATTAAGTCTTGTGACAGTGGCATTATTCAGAATGTCATCTACCCGCGATGAGTTGCTGGATTTACTCGTAACTTCCCAACAAGTTCAATGCGAGAAATTCGAGTGCGTTTCCTCTCTCTAAATTCGAGTTTCATCATCAGACACACTTAGAGAGAGTGAAAGATTGCTCAAAGCGCATCAGTAACATTGATGCACACTCGAATCAATCATCACCCGCAATCAAAACACGTGTCAATACCAAATCAGCAACTTGTTCAGTATATTTCTCCCGCCGAATTTCTCCACATTGAATCTGAATGTAGCACGTACCACGAGTGATACCAATTTGCAAAGAAATTCACTTAAGAACTCACATGGAACTTATGGCGGTTAACAACATTATTATAGACAAAACGTAACTCAGATATGTGTACGAAGCAAGTTGGAATCCCTGATCCTTCAGATAAAACGAAGACTCCATGAAATCTCAACAGGGGTAGAGATCTAGACATCCTCCAACAGGCTATTTCTCATGCCTGTTCACCTGATTGTGTGTGTGTGTGTGTGTGTATATATATATCTGATTCTTGTTTCACCTTCCGATGCAAGTCCCGCTACATTTCTAACAAACTATTTTCATTCTTGTTTCGTTTCAAAGCAAGAAGAATGCCAATCGATACGACTGTAGACGCTTTGCGCAAGCGTGGATTCGATGGGTGTTCCCTTGAATAATTTGGACGGAACAGAGAAATGGAAAGATACTTCAGAAACATTACATTCATCAGTCAGGTAATTCAAGAGCAGGTACAAGTCGAAGAACTATCACTTGCGCTCGTCGCGCATCCACCCCTATTCCGATAGTGAAGTAGCTTTCATGCCAATGAAACCACCCCCAAAAACACAAAAAAAACACTCGATTTTCGGGGCATTCGGAAGCCGAAATCAAAATCGAATGCGGTCCGTCAAAAGAGAATCATTGAGTCCTGACAATCTTTTGTGTGTGTACCCACGTAAACGAAAGGCCCAGCAAGTATGAACGTGGTGAATCTCTGAGGAACCTGCAGAGGACTGGGGACCAAATGAATTTTCTGTCCTGCCCTGAGAAGTTTTTGTACTCTATCCTATGATGATGTATCGATTGGATAGATTTCTTCTCGTTCTTGGCATTTTGGGACAATGTCCTTTGAAACTGTGGCATCGGACTTGTGTCCGGTTTTCCCCAGATTGAAATGGGCATATGAATCCAAGATTTTACGAACCCAACACGTGCAACCATATGATTTTTGGATTTCACTAAGAGAAATGTACCCAATTGGAGTGAGAGGAGAACTTTTACCAGCACATGTGCAACTATATTATTTTTGTACATGTGCAGCTTAACGAACTGCCATCGATGTCTTTAACCAAAAAAAAAAAAAAACTGCCATCAATGTTATGCGTACGTAGTTGATTCTTGATTCGACATATTTCAGTTTTCAAAACGTGACCCGAAGAACATGTCTATATTGCTTGCACGTTAGAAATTCAAGGCCCTGTACCACTACCTACAAAAACGCTAACGCAAGCGAAATTTCAGTTATGAGTTTTGACTCGCGTCTATCCAGTCCGTAAGGTTACAGTAGGGATATCTCACAGGCGGGCATGTATGTGTTTTGAGCAAGTAGCTAACGGTGCGCACTCGATGGACTGACCAAGAAAATTTCATGAGTTTAACGGAGCATATCACTGTCTTGAAATGCACATACTGAAAAACTAGGTTTTAACATCATAACGAATGAATACAAGAACTTATACAGAATGAATTCGGATGAGGCAGATGATGACATTGGCCCAGCCTGCGGATGGGTTACGAGAAACATGACGTCCAGATGAGACTGGAATAGCTACAATGGAGCTGGCCTTAACCAAATCGAGAAGTTGACATGTCGTGATAAAATGGGTGAGGAGGACACGACATTCCTAATGTCTGTACTGAAGATGGTCTACGATCGATGACTTTTCAGCCCGGCCAACGAAATGAAGCTGCTGTAATTAGATGAGCACCAAAAAAACATTAGGTTCACTTCGCGTTCACTTCCGAAAATGAGCACTATACTGTTCTATACGCTCTCTCTTCTTCTTTTTCCAAATTATTCTTAGAAAAAGAAAGATACATTTTCACCCTCCTCAAGGGTGTCTCGTCACTTTTCAAGTTGCCATCTGCAATTTTTTTTTTTGGGGGTCGAATCTGCAATTATTTGAAGACATATTGATTTTGATAGAAACAGGAACATGGTCATGTGCAGCATTATCCGCAAAAGCATGTGACATCACAATCGAATATGAAGTAAACATTTCTACCTATAATTTTTCGTTTCTTGTGTTCACTTA